GCCAAAGCTAAGTTCCGAACCGCCTTCCTCGTGAGATCGACCCGGGGAACGAATCTTTTGATTCGATACTCGGTAAAAAGAATAATTTGTGCTACAACAAAGGTAGTTGAATTTTTTATTCCAACTAGCTTATCAACTAATTTTAATAAACACTTTTATTATATAAGCTAGCTTTTCAACTCTAAGTTATAAGTTATAAGCTCGAAAATTACTGATAAGCTATAAGCTAGCTTATTAATTATCAACTAGCTTATCAGTTAATTTTAACTAACATAGTTTAAGTGTACTTGGTATTTAGCCTTTGTAAATAATTCTTCAATTCATTGTGTTTAAGTGTGGCAAGTTCGTATGTGTCATAAGTTTATTTGACATAAACTTTGTTTCATAAAGGAAAATGTACTGATTTGGTTTCTTTAGACCTTCTCCAACCGAATCCCAAAACGTAAAAAATGCAGCAAAATGTGTCCAATCGAACTGCAAACTCAAACTCAAAATGAGTTTTTGCCCATTTTCTCTCTCCTCAAACCCCATATTTGCGTTTTTACTGTAGCAAACGCATTTCTCTTTTTCATCTATCAATTTAGTCCTTCAATTTATCAAAATGCCTCATTTGTATTAAATTTATATTCTCCTATTTTATATATCTTATATATATATATATATAATATGTTGTAAGCATGAACAGACACCTAATATTATTAATATACATAATATAATCTTAGAAAATTAAAGTAAATAAAATAATTACAATAAGAAATTATAAAATTACTAAGAGAAATTGGATACTTATTTTAAAAATAATATAAATTGAAATTATATTTTTACATAAGAGAAGAAAGGAAAAGTTGTATAACATGTACAAATGTAAAAAAATTAAAATTAAAATAAAATATCATAAAAAATAAAGAAAAAATTTAATAATTACAAACATATCCAATTTTTTTAATAATATGAAAAAAAAATGAGAAACATTATTAGTCTTAATTAATAAAATAAATTTTCTCTAGTTTGAAATTTTTAAAATATTAAATATTTAAAAAAAAATAAGTATAGAGTGAATCAGTAACAATTTTTAAAATGTGAATATATGCGCTAGACCATATATGGTCTAGAGTGTAAGTTTGCACTAAATCATATATTTTCAAAAGTAACAGTTTTGTTTCAATCGGTACATAGATGTATATGTATTTTCTTGTGTGTTGTAATATTTAAATTTTCATTTTGCGTGTTGTAATTTCTAATTTTCATTTGTGTTATAATTTTTAATTTTTCATCTTGTATGTTGTAATTTTTAATTTTTCATCTTGTGAATTGTAATTTTTAATTTTATTTGTGTGGTGAAATTTTAATTTTTAATGAATATTTATTTCTCTGATTTTATTATGTATAATTAATTTTAATTACATAAAGTCCAAATTGAATTTAAAATAATATTATGGTTTAATTTGTAAAGTTGTAAAATATGTGAATAGTATTGAAAAGTTATAAAAGTTGGTGTAAAAGAGAATATTCTGGGAATATTCTTTTGGGTTTGAGAATGAGTTTTTCGGTTGGAGATGAATTACTGCAAAATGGGATAGTTACTGCAAAATGAGTTTGCGTTTGGGTTTTTCGGTTGGAGATGGCCTTATAACGTAGTTTTGTTCGGACTATTAAACTTAAGAATTACTATAAACTATTTTAGTTTTTTTTTTTTTTACTAAGTTATCATTACTACTCTTAACTCTTCATATTTAATTTATATATTAAACATTATTATAAAAGTGTATATAACTTTTTATTTTTATTTTTTTTATATATGACATTTAATAAAATCATATTTTAACGATCTAAAATTTGACATACTTATTGCATGTGTAAAATAAAAATAATCCTATTTATCTTTATAAATAAATTTAATTTTATTATCCAAACAATTTAAAAAATATCAAATAACAATATAAATTATTTTATAAACTAATAAAAACAAATTCATCAATACACCATAAAATAATCACTTTAATGTGTTTTTTTCATGGATTGTGAATAAAATATAGAATTAATTAGAGAAATGCTATAGGTACATAATATTGTACATAAGAGTGTACATAGCACTCCATTTGAGTGTTATGTATAGTTTTTAAACTCGGCCCGAAAATCGATCCGGGCAGGTCTCCGGGTCACCGGGTCACCGGTTCAACCATCGGGTCACCGGTTCAACCGTCGGGTCACCGTGTCAATTGCTGAACCAGATTATTAATTTAAAATTTTTAAAATTATATATATATACTATTTTTAAAATTATATATATATATATATATACTATTTTTGACATATAAATATACATAAAAGTAACGAAAATAAATATTTTGTATACAAAATTTGTATATTTAAGTGTTAATAATATTGAATCTCTCAATAATTATTTACTATGTCATTATATAAACATAGTATTTATTTTTTATGTAAAAAAAATTAAAAATAAAAATGAAAATAAAAATAAATTATAGAGACCGGGTTAACCGGGTTAACCGGGTTGACACGGTCGGGTCAATGACACGGGTCGACCGGGTCAATGTCGGGTTGGCTGGATTTTGACCGGGTCCATTGTTACCCAGTCCAAATAGCCCACTCGCACCGGTTTCGGCTCCGGGTCGACCGGATCCCCGGTCGACCCGCCGAGCCGGTCCGAGTCACAAAACAATGGTGTTATGTACACCTCTATCGCTATGTACATTTATTATGTACTTGTAGCATTTTCCAATTAAGTATTACACAAAATAATTTTTAAGAAATATTACAAAATATTTTTTTAATTTAAATAGATTATATAAGAAACTAAACGTTATTGTGATATTTGAAATTATAAATATAAAGGAATGACATAATTAAATATAATAAAATATAATTTCATAAAGTTAGAAAATAGTATATTTATGTGTAGACTAATATTCTAATTTAATGAATTATATGAATTTAAAGTACTTGAAATTTAATAAATGAGAGACATCGACTCTATAAATATAAAAATATAATCATAATACAATAAAACTTGTTTTGTTTTAAAAAGTATTCGAATAAAATATAAGAATTATAGAACTTCATTGTTTACAGGGGCAAAACCATGTACATGGTTGGTCCAAAAAAAAAAATTAAATTAGGGGTAGAGAATTTTGTTGAAACTGAAAAATTTTTCTTTGAGCGCGCATGTTGGGCCCTCCCCAGTTTCATGCGGTACATACATGGCCGGAGGGGCGTTACCGATTTTATCGTGAAAATTATTTTTAAAGGCAAATTGGGTCC